GCAAGGTCAGCAGTTCGAAACTACCAGCTATTCTGTGGAAGAAAGATGAGGCTTTCTGCTCCCGTAAAGATTTACAGCCTCGGAAACCCTGTATCGGGTTGCTATGAGTCAGAACTGACTCCACGGCACACAACAACAACAACAAATATATATGGATGTATGTATATAAAGAAGTATATAAAGGGAGTGTTTTAATAGTTATTTTAGATCATAGTAGATATTCTTTGATACGACACCAAAACTTGACAAGTAGTAATCTACTAAATGTCAGTTGCAATGTGGATTCTTAAACCTTATCAGTGAACTTTAATACTTTGCTACATTAAAGTCCATTGGTGTGTCCTGTGCTGTGAGTGGATTTTTTTTTTCCTGTATGATTTTGTAACATCATACATTGGTCATTTGGGAAAAAACTGATTCACTTAGTTACACAGATTTCCCAAATATCGACACATTTCAAGCTATACATAAACATCCCATCTTTATCCACTAATATCACAGTGTTTCAGGTTTTCTCAGAATTCTCATTTTTGCTTGAAAGCATGAATTTATCATTAGCAACAAATAGTTGTTTTGTGCTTTTTTATTGAAGTGACAAACTATATTTACATTGACCAAAATGTCTGCCAAATACTTTGAATAATCATAGTTTATCTATGATTCTTTCAAGTAAAAATGGTGTTCCAGGAAAAGAAAAAGTGAAAAAAAAACCAGCTAATTTATCTTACAAATGAAATAATCACACAAGTACTTTTCCTTAAGCTAATCACAATATACAGTATGCTACAGAAGAGCTTTATGCATGTCTCCCTTTTCTTTACATAGAATATTGGTTGAAATTTAATAAAATTTACCGTTTTTACTTCTCCCACATGGATGTTTTTAAGTGAAACTGGAATTTTGTTGTTTATTTATTTATTTTTCATTTGTGCTTTAGTTTATTTTTACTATGAATATGAGCCAGTAAATACAATACACACATGTACAGTTTGGGTCACTTTTCAGATTCATGCTAAGGTGCCAGTGGTTTCAGTCACCATTTCTTTTGTAAGGATACAAATGTCAACACAGTGAAAAAGATGGAGAGTAGCATCTTAGTATTTTTATGAAAACATGTTTTGATTTCATAGACCCCCTGCAAGGGTGTCTAGGCCCCATGAATGACCCATGCATCACTCTTTGAGACTTGTAGGCTTAAGATAATATCATGTAGAGTTTAAATACTTGATGAATGAATGAATGTATGAAAGATTTAATTGTTGCTCTATAAATTGTATAGCTTTCATGGAATTTATATGCTCAGGAAAAACACATGAAAAATCTTTTCTTTCATCATCAAGTTCTGAATTGTTGTTGTTATTGTTAAGTACCATTCAGTCGGTTCCAACTCATAGCGACCCTATATAGGGTTTCCGAGGAGTGCCTGGTGAGTTTGAATTTACTTTGGATTGTTGTTGTTGTTAAATGCTGTTGAATTGGTTCCAACTCATAGAAACCCTTTATAGAGTTTCTGAGGCTTTAAATCTTCTCTGGAGTAGGAAAGACTCTCTTTCTCCCAACGAGCAGTTGCGAGCTTGAACCACGGACCTTGCAGTCCAGTGTTTATTTTTATGGAGCCATTATGCTTCCCATACTTTGGATAGGAGATAAGATTTTGATTAACTACCAGGCGATTTCACCAGTTGGACTGCTAAACTCAAAGTCAACAGTTTGAGTTGGAGAAAGATGAGGTTTTCTGCTCTGGTAAAGATGTATAGCCTCAGAAGCCCTGTGCAGGGTTGCTGTGAGTCAGAACTGACTCTATGGCACATAATCACCACCATCACCAGGCAATTTTAAAAGTTGTTATTGTTAAATACCATTGAGTCAGTTCTGACTCATCATGACCCTGTATAGGGTTTCTAAGGAGTGGCTGGTGGGTTTGAACCACCAATCTTGCAGTTTACAGTACGGTGAGTGTCCTACAGTGCCAAATCAGGACTCTGCATTTTTGAACATACGAATGTACTTTAGAGAGGATATAAGATTTTTATTAACTACCAGGTATTCTTAAAAACTAAATCTCTTCTCTGTTGAATAAAGATAAAAGCAATTGACTATAATCTATAAAGCTGATTAACAAATGACTACATTGTCACAGATTACTTGAAAATTACTAGTGTGGGAAAATTATTCTTCTTTCAGTACATGAAAAATATGAAATGTAATAATGTACCCCTTAAATTATTAATGCAAGGAAAATTACAGTGTATAAATTAAAGATTCATTATAATGGTATTGTTTTTACCTAATAATTCAATTTTTACTTTGCTTTCAGTTAATTGATAAATATCAATTGAAAATAAAAGTACAAGATATGGATGGTCAGAATTTTGGGTTGCAGACAACTTCAACTTGTATTATTAATATTGAAGATGTGAATGACAACCTGCCAACATTCACTCGTACTTCTGTAAGTGCATGACATTAATATGAGAAAAACATGTAGCCTTGTGTTAACTAGGTTACATGATTTCAAATGAAGTAACCCTAGTGACATGGAACGGGCTTAAGGTCTGAAGTCAGGTGAACATAATGCTTCATCTCACGAACTTTGGACATGTGAACAGGAAGGACCCACCCCTGGTAAAGTAGAGGGTCAGCAAAAAGAGGAAGACTCTCAATGAACTGGAATGACGTAGAAACGTCAACAATGGGAGCAAGTATGAGGATGGCGAAGTCCTGGACAGTGTTCTGTCCTATTGTACATAGGGCACCTAACCACAACAACCGAAAGCAGACGGCTTTAAGAATTAGAAGAATGGGACTTACTTTACATGGTATTCTATTTCTGTGCAAATTAATAATACAACTGTTTTATTTTTCCAGTATGAGACATCAGTGGAAGAAAACAGAGTTGATGTGGAAATATTACGTGTTACTGTCGAAGATAGGGATTTAGTTAACACTGCTAATTGGAGAGCTAATTATACCATTTTAAAGGGCAATGAAAATGGACATTTTAAAATTGTAACAGATCCCAACACCAATGAAGGGGTTCTGATTGTGGTTAAGGTAAGAATAAATTAGTAAATTAATTATTTGGAGTTTATAATGTTATAGGTTAGCAAATGAGCATTTAGTGAAATGAAGGTAAATCTGGTAAGGAATAAAATAGCTATACAAATAAATGTAAATGAAATGTTCGCAATAAATGTAATGAAATGAATTTATTGATTTTTGAGAAATTTTTATGAAGGAATGATTTTGAGAAAATATCATATGTATGTTTTCAACTGATATGATCTAGTATCCCCTTTGTATCTTAACATTTGAAACACCAACACAGCTGTGATGCCAGTGGGCCAGTGTCAAACTTTCCTAGCCCATTCTTGCTGTAGCTGAGTCAGGGAGTCCCCACTTGTTTACTGGCTTGCCCAAATGATGTGTTATACCTGGTCAGACCCATCCAGAGGTTGTTTATAATTCTGTTCATCTGTATCTCCCGGACAGATCTTGGCATCCAGCTTTAGAATGGACATTCTCAAGCATGTAAAGATGTGACTACTTCTAAAACCCCATTCTCCAGCCTCTCAGTGAAAGTCTGCTACTTCAGTGGTAGAGTTAGCCTTTCATGTGATCTGGGCTCCCTTTGTCTGGGAAAAAGTCATGCCTTTATCTCTCCCACATCTTTAGCTAGAATATGATTCTATCATTCTCAAGGAGCATAGATCAAAAATGATGGATCCTTTTTTTTTCTTTACAATGATAAAAATTAACTGCAGTCTGTGGATTAGTTTCAGTTTCAAAACAATAGAAATTCTTTTTTATCTTATCTCTTTCTTTACTCAAGTCATGACATACTGTTGTGGCTATTAAGTGCCGTTGAGTTGGCTCCGACCCACAGCGATCCTGTATAGGGTTTCCAAGCAGCTGGTGAGCTTGAACTGACAACCTTGTGGTTCAAATGACTTCGCAGTCCAATGCATTAACCCACAGCCCCATAAGGACTTATCTTTGTAAAGTCAAAGACCTAACAAAATTGTGTCTTCCATAAAGTGGGTTCACCCATTGTCATTTCAACTATGCATCAGACAAAATTTAATACAACCGTTCACCAAACTTGGTACTGCCAGTTTTTAAAAAAGTAACTGGGATATCAAAACCAGCACCACATTGAGTTAATTCCAACTCATAGCAATCCTATAGAACAGAATAAAACTGCCTCATAAATTACAAGGCTATGAATCTTTTCAGAAGCTGACTGCTACATCTTTCTCCCATGGAGTGGTTGGTTGATGGCCTCAAGCCAATAACAAACCAGTTAGCAACTGAGCATTTGACCACTGTTCCAGGGCATGTTATAACTTGGATAAATTACATAAAAGGAAAGTATACGCTTCCTAAGTTTTCTATTTTCTCCATAAATCATCCCTTTAAAAATATTTTATAAAATTTGACCCACTTTTTTATCCTAAGCTAGGCAGAGATTATACTTTTCTTTCTTTGATGATGACAGGACAAGCTGTAGTAATATGAATAGAATAATAAATCAATAAATATTGATTGTAAAAGAATGGACTACCATAGCAACCTCCAAGCATCTTTATTACATACTTTCTGAAATTTTTATCTGATCCTATGATACTTGAACCTACTTGTGTTAAATTTGCAGTTAAGGAATTGTTTTTATTTTTTCTTTGCTCCACACAAATGCTCGATCAGCTGAAGGATTCCTCTCCCCTTCCCCCTTCACCATGTTTCTAGGCCTATGTTTACTCTTTTCATGATTATTCCCAACACAGCATTTCCATATTTCTAACTTTAACTAGTGATATATGATAGTTAGCATTGCCAATTTTTGAAGGACTTGATCTGATTTTCGTTATACTTGCTATTGTAGCCTCTGAATTATGAAGAAAGACAGCAGGTCATCCTGCAAATTGGTGTAGTGAACGAAGCTCCATATACTAAAGGGGGTACTTCAAAATCAGTCATGAGTACAGCGACAGTTACCGTTAATGTGAAGAACCAAGATGAGGGCCCAGAGTGCAGCCCTCCTGTACAGATTGTTCGAATTAAAGAAAATGCACCTGCTGGAACGAAGATCAATGGATATAAGGCATATGACCCAGAAAGCAGAAGTAGCAGTGGTATAAGGTATTCCTAATTCTACTTTACTTAACTCCAAATTTAGCTTGGTTTTCAAATGTATAACTTGCATTTTTATACCATTATTGTAATTTAGATCACTATCCATTTTATTGTTTTAATTCATCATAATTAACAGATATAAGAAATTAAATGATCCAAGAGGATGGGTCAACATTGATGAAAATTCAGGATCAGTCACAGTGTTTAGAAGCCTGGATAGAGAAGCAGAGACCATCAAAAATGGTATATATAACATCACAGTCCTTGCATCAGACAAAGGTGAGAATTTTATTTTGAAGTCAGGACATACCACCCTTAATACGCCTGATCTTGTCTGGTCTCAGAAGCTAAGCAGTGTCAGGCCTGGTTACTACTTGAATGGGAGACCACCTGGGAATACCAGGTGCTGTAAGCTTTGTGGAGTCCTGGTGTGGTACTGTGGGCTAATTCCCTGGACTTCAAGATTGATTTGAACCACAAGATTGGTGGTTCAAGCTTACCAGCTGCTCCTCAGAAACCCTATACAGGGTTACTATGAGTCAGAACCAACTTGACGGCATGTCACAACAACACAGACATTTAGTTTGTGTTTCTCCTCAGATGACATATAGGATAATTAAGAAGCTTTCTAAAATTTATCAACTCATAACAGCTTTCTAATGACACACTCCATTTTAGATGCAATTATAAAATAGCTTGTCAATAGAATTACTTAAGATCATAATTTATTACAGTTAAATGATCATTAAAACTTGTGAAAACTACATTAATAAAATTATCTTTCATTTATCCAGTCACCTCTCTTAAATTGCCCATTCTGGCAGAGACGTTCATTACTGGGAGTATATGCCAATTTTACATAGTGCACTCCTGGAAAACAATTAGAGCTGTCTTTCTGGAAACTAGAAATAGACCAGGGAGTTAGATTTCGGATTATGGACATTGCATAAAAATAAATCATTGTGATAATTTTTTACATATTTTAAAAGTACAGAGACAAAACTAAGAGTCATTATAACCATATAATATATAAAATAATATTATATGTTGTTGTTAAGTGCCATCTAGACTGTTCTAATTCACAACAACCCTGTATAAGGTTTCCGAGGCTATAAATCTTTGTGGTAGCAGAAAGCCTCGTTTTAAAACGCTTTCTCCCAATACTTTGATGTCTATGATTTCCTCTTTTCTGTAGAATTTTTGGTTTTGCTAGTTTTCCCTCTCCTAAACACATGTACTTCTGAAGCTTTCAGTTCAGGTTTCCTTTTCTTCTCAAACGATTTTAGTCTGAACTTTCTTGACAATTTCAGCCAGGTGTCTCCTCTCTGTAGGTGAATTTTAGACATCAATTTTAGTCATATTATTTTTTGTGGGGGGAGACTTTTAAACATTATAATGTACTTGGTATAAAAATAAGGAAACTGGTGTCACAGTAGTTGTTGTTGTTGTTGTTAAGTGCCGTCGAGTCAGTTCCAACCCATAGCGACCCTGAACAGGGCTTCCGAGGCTGTAAATCTTTATGGGAACAGAAAGCCTCATCTTTCTCCCGCAGAGCAGCTGGTAGATTCGAACTGCTTACCTTGCCGTTCGCAGCCCGATTTGTAACCACTACGCTACCAGAGCTCCTTGTCACAGTAGTTAAGCACTGCTAATAAAAAGGTTGGTGGTTCTAACCTACCATCTACTTTGTGAGAGAAAGGTGTGGCAGTCACTTCCATAAGATCTACAGGCGTGGAAATGTTAGGGGGCAATTCTATTCAGTTCTATATATTATCTCTGCGGCCCCTGATTCAGAACCAATTCTTAGCTTGGTAACTGGGGGTCCTGCCCCATAATGACCCTGAAGATATCACAGATCCCATTACTGTATCACAGCTGTTTTGGTCAAAGTTGTACATGTTCCTTCACCTTCCATTAAGTAGCAACTCTGAATAAAACATAGTTCCAGATAGTGATGGCATAGATATTTTCTCCTCACCTCCACCCCAAGTGTCTGAGATCTTATTAGGTAAAAAGAATAGACGGTTTAGACAGAAGTCCTGGGTGTGCTTTCAACTTTGGACTTCAGAACTGTGTTACTAATTTACATTCTAGATCCATACCTACTCCATCTGTTACGTCCCCAGATTTTCCAATGTGTTGCCTTGTACAAAGGCAAAAATAATATAGCTATTAAGAATGTTTTTACTGAATGTCAGATGGATTAATTCCTTAGAGTACACCCCAAAGTTATTGTCTCAATTTGCAGGTAGTTTTGTGTGTGTGTTTGTTTTCCCCATTTCTGGAGTCCTTTACCCTCCAAACATTTCTAAGTACTATTTTTTGTTAAATTGTCCAAATCTGTAGTTTCCAACATTCAATTTCTCTCTTCCAAACCTTACTTGCTTTATATTTGTTTATTAAACTCTAGTTTCTAGTGTTGACTCCCATTGATCTGTCTTTCCCTTCGTTGTCCTAGATCATATTGTGAGCATACTGTACTTTCCCACATCTTAAAGTTCCTTGTGCTTTTAAATACCAAGAATGCCCCCGTTCACACTCTCTCCTATCTCCCTTTAAAAATCACACAAACCTTACCTCTATAAAAATTCTTCTGTCTCTTTCAGCTAATGAAAGAAGGAATACATCCAAATAGCAGTTGCTGTGTGTAAAACTCATTTGACAATAATGCAATTTTTCTTTGAATTCCCAGAGGGGATCACAAGCCTGTGATGGTGCTTGTCACTGTAACTTGTACATCATCAATGCTTATTGTACATCATCAATGCTTACTGTTGTTAAGTGCCATCGAGCCACTTCTGACCCATAATGACCCTGTACATGTTTTCCAAGAAGCAGCTGGGGAGTTTGAACCCCCAATCTTGTGAATTGCAGCCCAGTGCTTATCCTACAGTGCCACACCAGGAGTCCTTAGGTGTTTACTAGATATTTAAAAATATTTCCAACTTATAACTTTCTTGTGAAAACTCAAAGCATGAAAATTATACTTTTACTTCTGTTTTTCTAGATGAAAGAACATGTACTGGGACACTGGGAATTATACTTGAAGATGTGAATGATAATGGACCATTCATACCTAAACAGACAGTGATAATCTGTAAAACCACTATGTCATCTGCTGAGATCGTTGCTGTTGATCCTGATGAACCTAAACATGGTCCACCGTTTGACTTCAGGGTAGACGGTGTACCTGGCTCAGATGTACAGAGAATGTGGGTACTGACAAAGCTCAATGGTATGTATTCCTAACCATTGCTTTTTAGATACGTTAAAGATATAATAAAACCATTGTCTTAACTAGTCTATTAGTTATGGTAGGAAGGATGAGACATATAGACTAAAATACACTATTCCTAAAGCCAACATCAGGCTGCTTAAACTATATTTTTGTTGGTGTAGAAGAATAATTCCCTGTGTGGAAGACACCAAAGAAAGACAGTACATTTCTCAGTTTTGGTGTGATGGGAGGTGGGTCTATCTGTGTCTCTAATCCTGTGCCAGAATTGTTTCACAAATTCTCACTTCTAGTCCACGCACACACACGCACACACACACACACAGAGAATATAGGTCTAACAGAATCAATTCCTGACTTGTATACCCCTATCTACATGGATTCTTTATGTTTTGATTCTTTATATTAATAGTTTCCCAGGCATTAAGAAAACTTCCTTCTCTTATTGGTTTGGATATACATGAAGCAGAATCTGGAACAGAATTTATGAGAAATAGTATTTATTAAGAAACCTGCTTAGGATCAGTAGCCATAAAAAAGAAGGAGAAGCAGTCTGAACTGAGTAGGAACAGAAGTTGAGCCAGCTGATGTAGTATTAGAATCAGTTAACACTATGAGGAGTCTGGAGCTAAAATGGACTTTCAATGTGGTCCCAAGTTAAGCCTGTCTATATACTTATTGCTCAGTCAGTGGATGTGGAACCCCCAGAGGAATGAGACCCTTAGTAAGATAGTACAATCATCAAAGGGCCTAGCAGCTCTTCATTCTAAGGGGACCTGGGTGTACATCCCAGTGTCCACCACACCATCTTGCTTCTCTGACTATTTTTTCTCAGTTGTATGCTATTTAGGGTTCTCTCCCAACATGGTCCCCAGTCCATACTAATCATTTTAGGTCAGAACAGGTTCTAATGTAATGAGAATGACTACCATGAAGGGAACCTCTCTTTGCCCCACATCAGCTCCTAACTATTCAGCACATCCTCTGTCTCCTGCCCATATTGTCCCTGAACTCAAATGTCCTGGTCTATCCGGACTTTCATGACTAAATATTCACTGTACACTGCACAATGTTTACATTTGATGTGATCTTCAGTGTTTTTGAACCCCATATTTTCAATGACTATGCTTCAATTTCCTGTTGTGACAAATTAGAAAAGAAAGATTTTAAGATAAGACAGAGGAAAAGTGGGCTTAGGAGAGAAAACAAAGGCAAATAGGAGCCATGGTGCTTTGTGTTCTGAATCTTGTTCTGAGAACTGATAATACATTATGACAGCATTTTTAGATTTTCTACAACAGTATTCTAGTGTATGTGTATGTGAAAGGTTATCAACTATTCAACTTATTCTTTGATTTTATTTTCTGTTTATTTGGTATCAAAGTGTTTCTTATATAGTTTGATAAGAGGCATTGATTTTGTTTGTAGTTTTTATTCTTATTTAGGAAAAAAAAACAAAACCCATCGGCATCATGGTGTTGGTCAAAACTGTGTTACTTAAAATTTATACTAGTCTATGAAATAATTCTAAATCTGTAAAATAAATCAAGTTAAGAATAACTTCTTCTCAAAGGTTTTGAAATTAAACCTTGGTTCCATTTTTTATTAGCTATATAAATTTGCCCATATCTCTATGGCATAAAGTTGCTCAGTGACATTGGTTATATTCTTCACAATTTGTGAACAATCTCATTAGTAAAGTTCTGATTGTTCCATTTCCATTAATCTAGTTTGCATGCCCCCCTTACTTTCTCATCTTTGTTTTCAAGGAATTGTTGACCACCTGGTCTTATATAGGTGATGTTTTATAAGATCAGTAGTTATGGGTGCTATACATTATTTTTCAAGACAATTTTTTACTTAGCTATAAGGTGACCTTGGGTTAGTTTCAGTTCAAGGTTTGAAGAGTATCTCAGGGCAATCGTTTTGGGGAGTTCTCTGATCTCAGTCAATTCAGTGTGTCTTTTTGTTGTTGTTGTTATTGTTGCTGTTGAGGTTCCCTTCCACATTTTTCTCCCATTCTATCATGACCCATCTATTATGGCCCTAAGTAGCATGGACACGTGCTTTTTTTGAAAACATTTTATTTTTACATAAGTTTCCTACCCAAACATTCAAACTTCTACTTGTAATTGCAAACACTGTATGCTTTTTCAATGGGAAAGTCACATCAGGAGACAGATAATTCTCTGATGATGTCATTGTTAGTGCCATCAACTCAATTCTGACTCCTCTATCGCCCTCAGCACAGCTAGTAGTCTCGAACTGTGGTTTGAAGTCCAGTGCTTATCATCTAAACTCACTGACTTCCCAATTCTCTGATACATAGCATCTGTATTCAGGATGATATGTCTGACTCTGTGGTACTTGCAAACGTTTGTGGGAAATTACCATTATCTTGTCATTTCATTTTCCATGAACTTTTTAAAGCTTTCTCATATATTGACTTTTGGTCTGGATCTTTTTTACCTTTGATCTCAAAAAAGCAGTAATAAAAAAGTATAAATTGCCACCTCCCACCCCCGACATTCTATAAGATCATGAATGCAGTTCCAGCAGTGTGACTCATGGTCTGCTAACTTCCTCAAGTGTTAGCAGTGTGCTCTATCTTCAACGTAAGTGTCTGATAATAAACCACAAGTATCTGGTGGGTTTGGTTTTTTGTTTTTGTTTTTGTTTTTGTGTTTTTTGGCACAGTATATGAAAACAAAGTAGAAGAAAACATCTGGACTTTTGATTACTTTATGATGAATCAGATATAAAAGGAAATGTATACTGAATGTTTTAATTAGATACGTTAAAGATATAATAAAACCATTGTCTTAACTAGTCTATTAGTTATGGTAGGAAGGATGAGACAGATAGACTAAAACACACTATTCCTAAAGCCAGAGTACCTTTATACAAGAGGCAGTAGAGACAAGCTTGTATATGCAATATGTTTGTAATAGCTGTAAAATAGATTTCGTAAGCCATTCTCACAGTTTTACAGCAGTTGTGTCATCCTGTCAGGAATGTACATTTGTACACAAGTGTGATAAAGATTCTGTATGTACCTATTTATATTCAAGAGAAAAATTCAATGGTATAATATAATATTTTGTTTTTTTTTCTTTCAGATACGACAGCACGTCTTCATTATCAGAACGACCTTCCATTTGGACAATATGAAGTGCCTATCAGAGTTACAGATAAACAGGAGCAGTCTAAAGTTACGGTGTTAAATGTTTTGTTATGTGACTGTGTTATTGAAAACGACTGCACACTTCGTGTGGGTGCAAGAACTGGCAACGGAGATGTAAGACTTGGAAAATGGGCTATCCTTGCAATATTGTTAGGCATAGCATTGCTATTTTGTAAGTACTTTCATAAATTCAAATAATAGCCTTTAAAATAATTTTTAAGACACCTTCTTAAAATCAGCATGATTAACTGTAGCTGTTCATTTATATGTAATTATGTTTCCTTTTAACAGACAAATATATTTAATTTATAAATTTGAATGCATTTATTTATAGTTCTAATATCTTCTGGAGTCCTGGTATGGCACTGTGGGTTAATGCGCTGGACTACAAAGTCAGTTTGAACCACAATGTTGGTGGTTCAAGTTTACCAGCAGCTCTTCAGAAAGCTTATACAAGGTCACTATGGGTCAGAACTGACTTGAAGGCACTTAACAACAATTATCTTCTAGCACTGAAATATGAGGGGTCTTCAAAAAGTTCATAGGGTATGCATATTATGAAAAATATGCATGGATTTAAAATCTTTTTTGTACCCAAATCAACTAATACTAATTGGTGTGATGCTGTGAGTTAATGCACTGGACTCCAAGGTCTGTTTGAATCTTAAGGTTGACGGTTCAAGATTACCAGCCACTCCTTGGAAACCCTATACAGGGTCAGAACCAACTCGATGGCACTCAGAAACAACAGCAAATTTGTTATTTGGGGTGAAGAATGGTGAAATCATTGATGCTTTCTAAAAAGTTGATGGGCATAATGCCCCAAAGGAATTAGCAGTTTAAAAGTTGAGCAAACTCCGTGGTGCCAAAACTGTTGTGCTCGGCTACGACAAGAGCGGAGTTTTCAGTAGAAACTTTATAAACAAATGGGATCAAGATCCTGGAACAATTTTTAGAAGACTTGTAACAGCATGTGAAAGTTGACTTTCCTGAAGAAAAACCAGATAACTGTTGAATGGTGGAAGTGACGCAGTCAAAGCAATAGCTGACAGGCTGAGAGCAAGGGTCATGGCAGCAGATTTTTGGGATGCTCAAAGCGTTTTATTTGTTAACTTTATGGAGGACCAAAGAACGATGATATCTGCTTATTATGAAAGTGCTTTGAGAATGTTATCCAAAGCTTCAGTAAACAAAACACCCAGGAAAGCTTCACCAGAGAGTCCTTCTGCACCACAACAAGGTTCCTGCCCATTTTTCTCATCAAACAAAGGCAAATTTGCAAGAGTTTCAGTGGAAAATAAGGAGGCATCCATCTTACAGTACTGATTTGACTACTTCTGGCTTCATTTTGTTTCTTAATCTTAAAAAATCTTATAAGGCCACTCATTTTTCTTCAGGACCCTCAGTTCCTTAGGGGTAGACTAAATGACTGGTATCATCAATTGCAAAAGTATCTTGAATTGATGGAACTTATTTGGGGAAAGTTTGTATTTTAAAAACCTTTATTTTAAATTCCATTTCCCACAAACTTTTTGAAGCTACCTCATAAATTCAATGGAGAAATACTTCACTTAACATATATTTGTCTATGGTATATCTGTTTAGGACAAACTTTTTATTATATACTACTTATACCTAAGTCCTGGTGTGGCACTGTAAGATAAGCACTAGATTGCTTGCTGCAAGGTCGGCAGTTCAAACCCACCAGCCACTCTCGGAAACCCTATGCAGGGTTGCTATGAGTCAGAACTGACTCAATGGTACACAATGATAGCTTTTATAGAAGCAATCATATTTATGTAATCTGGAAAGCTATCTTATCTTAATATATACTTTTCATATTAATGATTGACCTGTGTTTAACAACGAAACCAAATCCATTGTTATCAAACTGATTCCAACTCATGGCAATTTCTTGTATGCAGAGTGGAATTGATCTATAAAGTTTTCAAGGCTGTGACCTTTCAGAATCAGATTTCCAGGCTTTCTGCCTAGATGTCTGGGTGGTTTGAACACCAATCTTCTGGATAGTAGTGGAACACTTAATCATACGTACTACCTCAGGACTCTGCCTGTGTATTAATGATTATGTATTCAAAATTTCACATTCTTTGATGATAACCTTGTGCAAATTTGTTTCCTTTCTGTAGGTATTCTATTTACACTCATCTGTGGGACTTCTGTGAAAGACAAACAACCAAAAGTATTTCCTGATGATTTAACTCAGCAGAATTTGATTGTGTCAAACACTGAAGCCCCTGGAGATGACAGAGTGGTAAGTAATGTGTTGTTGTTTTTTTAAGGAATACAAAGAATGAACTGTCCTAATTCACTATAATTATCTTTTGTCAGTGAAATATTTTGGTATCTGATAACTTGAAATACATAAAGTGTTATCACATCTATGGGGCAGATAAAGTATCATTGATTCTCATGATAATAATAAAGGTATTTCAATTTGGCCATACAGCATTATTTAATAGTAACAATTGTAGCGTATCATTATTATTTTGTGCTTCTCATGTGTTGTGGTTTCAACTTTGTTGTTGTTGTTGTTGTTATGTGCCGTGGAGTCGGTTCCGACTCATAGCGACCCTGCACAGGGTTTCCAAGGCTGTTAATCTTTATGGGAGCAGAACGCCTCATCTTTCTCCCGCGGAGCAGCTGGTAGTTTCGAACTGCTGACCTTGCGGTTCGCAGCCCGATTCGTAGCCGCTACGCTACCAGAGCACCTTGGTTTCAACTTTAGACCTGGCCTTTTGTATATTTTTAAACTAATGTTTGTGTTGATGAAATGCTTTATTTAATGATGCAGAGATCGCCAGTATAATTGCTTTAATTTTTTCCCCCAACAATAGAGATGAAATTACTACAAGCTTTGATCAGTGTGGGAATGACTTTAATGGATTCTTTATGGCTCTAATATGGGTTGGAAAGCAGCCTAGGGTTAAATATATGTAGCAGCAATGCTAACAAGTAATTACTTTGGTCCAATGTTGCTTAAGGAGCTCTGGTAGCGTAGTGGTTATGAATCGGGCTGTGAGCCGCAAGGTCAGCAGTTCGAAACTACCAGCGGTTCCGCAGGAGAAACATGAGGCAGTCTGCTCCCGTGAAGATTTACAGCCTCGGAAACCCTGTGTAGGGTCACTGTGAGTCGGAACCGACTCCACGGCACTTAACAACAACAATGTTGTTTTCTAGCCCAGTTTGTGGAGGAGGAGTAATTATATTCCCTATAAAAAAACAAAATTGATGATTATGGCAGAAAAGACTAAGAAAAGCAAAGAATGATGGCATGGAGAAAAAGACTGAAAAAACAAAACTTAAAAGTTTTCTATAAAACATAGTAGAGAGAACGAGAGCCAAAGCCTTTTTGTTCTTGTTGTTATATATTTTTTCACTTTCACTTACATATATTGCAAGAGATGATTACTGCCGTTGTTATTTCTATCCTTGCTTCAATTGCAGGGGGACTGAATTAGACACGGAATGAAATTACCAATCATTGTGACTGTTTCTACTCTAACTGGGTACAGAGGAATAAAGTTAAACTAAGCAGGGTAAATATCTGAGTAATATGTGAAATAGCCCTGATCTTGAGTTATGAGAAACTAGAGGGACTTAACTGGTAGCATAGTGGTTACGAATCGGGCTGTGAACCTTAAGGCCAGCAGTTCGAAACTACCAGCCGCTCTGTGGGAGAAAGATGAGGTGTTCTGCTCACATAAAGATTTACAGCCTCGGAAACCCTGTACAGGGTCACTATGGGTCGGAACCGACTTGAAGGCACTTAACAACAACAACAGAGGGACTTAACAAATGATAAAATGATGTACAGTATTCTAAGAAGATTTGTAAAATGTGTGTAGGATAAGCACTGAACTGCTAACCACAAGGTCAGCATCTTCAAACCCACTGGCCACTTCTCAGGTATATATAGTCCTGATGTGATGATGTGGGATAAAGCACTAGACCTCAAAGTCAACTTGAACCACAAGGTCAGCGGTTCAACCTCACCAGCTGCTCCTTGTAAACCCTATACTGGGTTGCTATGAGTTGGAACCAACTCAATGACACTTAATAACTATATCTATATCTATATATTTTTTTAATTGCAATTTTTGGAAAAATTTACATCGCAAATTACGTTCTCATTGAACTATTTCTGTACACATTATTCAACGACATTAGTTACACTTTTCACAATGTGTCATCATTTCCCCTTTGTTCTGTTTCCATTCATCAGTTTCCTTGTTCCCCTAACAGTCTTTCTCAACATTGGTCTAAGATAAGTGTTGATGGTTAGGTCTCCCTTAGATGATTGTTTAGAGAAGCATAGTACTTCTGTGTGCTATTATTTACTGTATGAACGACTCTGACTTTTGACTAATAGTTGATATCCGAAGTAGTTTGAGTTCCATTTTGAAAGGGCATCCCCACATGAAAATCTTACCTGTTCTGCTAGTTGCAAGCTGTCCTTTTGGAGGTTTTTTGTTTTTGTTTTAGGAATTTGAGTTTTGTTCTGCATTTTTCCCAATTGGGACCACCTGTGTGTCCCTGGTTGGAATACTTGGTAGTGGTAGTCTGACACCATCTAGTTCTGGTCTCATTTAGGTGAAGCCATGATTCACGTAGACTGTTAGAATTGTAGACTAGTTATTTCGTTGAATCTGTAGTTTCTTTCTTTTGCTCCATAACCCTAGAGACCAGTAGGTATATTAGATGACTGGTTTGCAAGCATGTAAAGTCCCAGGAGCTATTCACCAAACAAGAATGTACAACATTATCTTTATAAGCTATGTTATGCCAAAAGACCAAGTTGTCCACCAACACTATTCATCTAAACCCTCAAACCAGTAGCTCAATCCCACAGGGTGTTTGGTTATTCTAAGAAGTATTCTTAACTGTGTCCCCTATGTGCTTTATTTTATAAATGAATGTATGTACAATGGGGCTACAAAATATTTATGAAAAAAATTTCCCTTATCTTTTAATTCCACGTTTTCATGAACTTTTTGAAGTCCCCTCAGGTAAGTGTCTACTGTCTAGAAAGGAAAGCAATTTCCTCTCCCGATTCCTCCCTTTCCCGGTAACCACCAATGAATGCTGCTTTCTTTATGGATACCTCTTTTGAAATTTTTATAATAGTGAAATAACATAGTAGTTGTACTTTTTTACTTATTTCACTCAGCAGAGTGCCTTCCCGATTTATCCATGATATAGTATATTTTGAGAATTCATTTTTATTCTTTAAGGCTATATAGAATTCCATTATGTTTATGCATGACAGTTTATTTATTGGTAGAAAGTTAGGTGCTTTCCATCTTTTTGTTATTGTAAATAATGCTGCAATGAGCATAGGTGTGCTTCTAAGAAGATTTTAATGAAGGGAAATTCATCAGGCTATTTGAGCTGTCAGAATACAGACCATTTGACATCTGAAATTTCTTTCCTATGCTAGCAGTACGTTAAGGACTGTTGTTGGTGCCATTGAGTCAGTTTCTAAGGATTTAAATCAGAAAATAGGAGAAGAAAATCTCGTATTTTCCCTGTGGAGCTCCTGGTAGCCTCAAATCACTGACCTTGTGGCTCCCAGTCTAGTACTTAACCTATGGAGCCACCACACTTGGCTTATAATTGTGGTTGCTGTTAGCTGTCATCGATTGGTCCTTGATTGTTGGCAACTCCCTAGTCAATGGAACAAAACACTGCCTAGTCCTGAATCATTCCCATGATTGACTATGGATTAGATCATTGTAATCCAGTGTTTTCATTGGCTCATTTTTTTGTAAGTAGACAACCAATCTTTCCTTCCTAGTCCATTTTAGTTAAGTGTGGTGCTATGGGTTAATGTGCTGGACTGCAAAGTCTATTAGAACCACAAGGTCGGTGGTTCAAGCTCACCAGCCTCTCCTTGGAAACCCTATACAGGGTCTCTATGGGTTGGAACCAACTCAATGGCACTCAACAACAAAAACAATGCAGAATTACTAAAACAGATTTGGAACCTCCCCAAGAAAGCTTACCTTCTAGCACAAGAAGAAACAAATCAATATGGCATTATATGAATGGTATTGTTCTTTTACAATTTTTTGCTCACCTCTGTCTTTTGTTGATACAAACTGTTTTATTTCAGTGTGTCACAAATGGCTTTACCTCCCATGGTGTGTGCAGTTCGGCTCAGGGAATTTGTGGAGCTGTGGGAACAGGAATCAAAACTGGAGGTCAAGAAACCATTGAAATGGTGAAAGGAGGACAGCAGACCTTGGACTCCTGCCGAGGGGCAGGGCATCACCACACCATGGAATCCTGTAGGGGAAGTGGATACCACCCGCTGGACCCCTGCAGAGGAGGACATGTGGAGATAGACAATTGCAGACAAAATTACTCTGAGTGGCAGAATGTAACTCAGACCCGTCTTGGCGAAGTGAGTGCCCCTCTGTTCTACAAACCTATTTTGAATTTATTTTAATTTTTTAAGTGATTACAGCTTAGTGGCCTGATATTTATTGTAGTGATTAATCTATTCACAGCAAAGTTATTTTACCCTGAATTTGACTTAGTTACGTTCAGATGTAAGTGGGTATTTACTGCTTTTGTTTTTTATTATTTCATGGACTTAGTGAGTGATATTTAAATTGCTTATCTCATAACTTTGTGCTAATATTTCCTACCTGACAACTCATGTTTTAGAAAGCAAAGTATCTCTGGAAGCAATACTGTGCTTTTCTAGAAAGATCTAAGTCCACATCAGTTTGGGTTCAGTTCGTTGGATACATTTTGAATAACTGTGAAAGAGAAAGTAGTGATTAGTTATAATGAAGATTTGCTGTCACATGTGTGGCTTTTAGAAACCTGCTAAATATTATTTATAGTGTAATTTTTGATATAGACCAATCATGTGCATTTTCTATGTGTAGGAATCCATTAGAGGACACACTCTGATTAAAAATTATACAATGCAAGGTAAATCAAAGAAATTATTTTTATGTTAGTAAGTCTTGGTGTTTAAAATAATAATAATAAAATATGTTGTGCTTTTCCTTTTGGCAGAAGGTGCAGCAGTGTTATCAGAATGCTAATCAGAATCCTGCTCAAGACTACGTCCTTACGTTCAGTTACGAAGGCAAAGGATCAGCCGCTGGTTCTGTAGGTTGTTGCAGTGAACGACAAGAAGAAGATGGGCTTGAATTTTTGGATCATTTGGAGCCCAAGTTTAGGACCCTAGCAGAAGCATGCATAAAGAGATGAGAGTTCTTTAAGAAATCTACTGAAGCAAGTGTCTTTACTACCATTTTTATTGTTGTTGCTAGATTACAAACCAGGACTTTTTCAAAAATAGAAAATGCTATGTTTGGGGCCTTTCCCTTGTGTTTTGATGGAAGCTCATTGGCCAACTGGACATTCACAGAGAAAAATTAAGGAAGTCTCTCCATTATTGTTTACATTTGGGTACGATGACAACAGTCAGATAATTGTACAATTTAATTAATTCATGTCTGCATTATAGATTACTTGAAGTATAATCTGATAGAAGATGATAGCGAATTTGCTTGAACATTATATCTCCAGTTAGCTAATTGTTTGTGTGTGCTTAAAAACGTTCTTCTCCTAAACATTCTAAAGTGTATATATTGCATTCTTGACACTGTCTAATTCTTGTCCTGTGACCTTTTCTTACTGTGTAAAGGGAGGCTTCTTATTAGGCATTGACCATTTTTGTAATTCCATTTTAATGGAGTTTAGCTTTTCAATTTGATTCTGTAGAAAATCCTGCCCAGAATGTACATTTTCTCCATTACCAACTTTGTCAGTATATTTAAAGTTTCAGAATTGCTTTCAGAATATATTTTCACTCTTGCTAGTGTTTGATCTTTTAAATGCCAAATGGTATCTGTTGTCTACTTCTCTCTCTTCCTTCTATCTTTAAAAATGTCCTGCTTGAAATATATAATCCAGTATTTTTAAAAGTTGAATCTCTTCTCTTATAAGAGAATCTTTCTGGCTTATTTGTAAGCATATGTAAATTCTCAAAACTAGTGTAATGTTACTATTATTGTTTGGAATATCTTGGTGATTGCTTCATTATGTTCTCAACAAAGAACCTGTAATTTGGTCATCAAAACTGTAGAAATACGTCCCGTTTGAGTTAGAAACAGCGTTCTATAGACCCACTCCTCAATTATCCGCATGGTTAGGTTCCAAAAGCCAAGCTGTTATATAAAAATCAGTATTATGAAAATATGGAGGATGGCCATACCAGGTCACAAAATGAGGGATGACTGTATCAGTATATAATTGTCAAATTACATCATTACAGAACTGCCAAATTACATCATTACAGAACTGCCAAACCACTGAGAATTGTGGCCCAGCCAGGTTGACACATAACCTTAACCATCACTGTCATCATTACTCTTGCTTTCCGCCTTGGCATCCACTCCTACCAGACATTTATCATTAATGTGTAAAATAGACAGTAGATTTTTTACTATGGTTGTAAATGCAAAATGTCCGATACCAAGGTAGTTGATAAGTGAGGATTAGGTATATTAACAAAAGGAATGGTGCAATTATAATTTGGATGTGGATATATATACTTTTATATATAGTATATAATAGTATGCTTATAGTTTATATATTTAGTATAGGATACATGCTATGGGCTAATATGCTGGATTGCAAAGACGCTTTGAGCCACAGGTTGGCAGTTCAAGCTCATCAACTGCTCCTTAGAAACCCTATACAGGGTCGCTATGGGTCAGTACTGACTCGATGGCACTAAACAACAACAATTTATAAATGCAAAACTGACAGTTATTTTAAATAAGCTTTGAAATAAAGTACCTTGAAACTAACTAGGGATAATATAGCTTTTTCAATGAGATGGCTAGTTATATCTATATACTTTAAAGTTGTTTTATATTTCAAAATTACAGTTTTTAACAAATACAGTAGTCCAAGCGATTTAAATTTTGAAATAAGACTAAGTTAATAGTTAATAAAAATCTAAGTCAGATTTTAGTCAATGGACTCTGTACGTATACTGACAACATTAACTGTTAAAATGTATTTTTAATGCTTATTATTGGTAATAATGTGTCTAACTTGAAGTTCTAAGGTGGGTTAAAACAATTATTTGTAAGGACTAACGTTGAGTCATTTTTCAATAACTAGTTTATATTTTCAGAAGTTCCATTATTGCTCAGTCAAAACTAAGAATTGCCAAAGTTATTTTTAATAAATTACATATTATGTTCTTGCATGTTATTTGTCCGGATAGTTTTCATAGTGTGAGTTTGTTAATTATTTCTGATTTCATTATGTATGAGGTTATATATTCATAGCCACCAGCCACTCCTCAGAAACCCTATACAGGATTGCTGTGAGTCGGAACTGACTCAGCAGGACTTATATGTACATGATGTATATGTGTCTATATAGATACATATATGTATTGCTGTTGTTAAGTGCCAATGAGTCATAGCGACTCTGTATAGGGTTTCTGAGGAGCAGCTGATGTGTTTGACCTGCCAACCTTGTGGTTCACAATCCAGTGCAGCACACCAGAAGTCTCTCTTTATATATTAAATGGGGATCACAGTGACTCCTTACAATAAAGACAATAAGAACTGTACTATGAATCACAAAGTCTGCTGTTTGAGCCAGCAAGCTGCAGAAAGATGAGGCTTTCTGTTTCCGCAAAGATTTAAAGCCTCAGGATCACTATTAGTTGGATACAACTTAAGAACAAATTAAGAACAACATACATGTGTATATATATATATATATATATATATATATATATATAACAGAGTCCTGGTGTGCCTCTGTGTGAGAAATTAATCTCAAGATCGGCAGTTCAAAACCACCAGTTGCTCCTTGGAAACCCTATACAAGGTTGCTGAGAATAAAAACTTACTGGATGACATTTAATAACAACTATATATATATTGTTGTTGTTATGTGCTGTGGAATCGGTTCCAACTCATAGCGACCCTACACAGGGTTTTCGAGGCTGTAAATCTTTACGGGAGCAGACCACCTTATCTTTCTCCTGCAGAACTGCTGGTAGTTTCAAACTGCTGACCTTGTGGCTTGCAGCCCGATTCATAACCACTGTGCTACCAGAGCGCCTTTATATGTATGTGTATAGATAGATAGATAGATAGATAGATAGATAGATAGATAGATAGATAGATAGATAGACTACTAACCACAAGGTCAGCGGTTCAAACCCACCAGCTGCTTTCTTGGAAACCCTATACAAGGTTGCTATGAATCCAAATATACTTGATGGTGCTTAACAACAATTACATACTGTTGTTAAGTGCCACAGAGTTCATTCCAACTCATAGTAACGACCCAATAAGTATAAGGTTTCTGAGGAGTGGCTGGTGGGTTTGAACCGCCAGCCTTTTGGTTAGCAATTCGGTGCTTATCCTACAACACAACTCCAGAACTCCATATATATGTATACACACACACACACACACGCACACAGTG